ATTTTTTTAAACAAATACATTAAACTTTATCTAAATTTTATTTTTATTAGCACAATTTTATTTAATTAAATATCTATTATAGGGATTTAAGATTTTAAATATGCATAAATAAGAAGATAAATAATTTTTTAAAAAATTGAAAAATAATATATAAAAAATAAAAGAATAAATAAATATACTTGAACCGGCCGGTCTGGCATCGGCTGAGGCTTGAAGTAGGAGGAGAGTAAGGTGGCTGCCAAGGTATGAGGGGGCTCGCTAGTGGTGGGTCACGGCACTTGCCGCCATTTCAGTTTTGTTTTGTTTTGTTTTTGTTTTTTTAATTTTCTTTAACAAGATAATTAGTTTTAATTATGGGCCTTAAATGAATTCTTGGCTTTCAAACCCAATTATTTGGGCACTAGTCTTTTAAGTCCCATTGACTCATGCCAATCGCACTGGATTTTAGCCGAATATTTTAGACTTAATTTAAATTTTGGACCTTTCTAATTTTATTGTATTTCGAAGTTAATCTCGAAGTTTATTGATAATTTATAATTCAAAAATTAATACTAAATCAATTTGGTGGAAATTTAAATATAAATCCAAAAGTTGAAATAATTTAGAACACAAAATCATTAACCTGGACAAAAATTAAAATTTTTATATTACTTTCTTAATTAAATATTCTTTGCGTTAAATTCTAAGCTTTCAACTACTAATTTCCTTACCAACTTTCAAGTAGTAATTTAGTTGAACACTTGGCAGGAGATGGTCCTAATGCATTTTTCAATTGTAAGAGATACTAACATCTTGCATCATAAAAATTTGGAATAATTAATTTTGTAAATTAATCGAATTCAAACAATTTGACTGTAAAACCTAAATCACATGAACTTAAATCCAATCCCAACACTAAATGATTCACCTCACCAATTGCAACATTTAACTTACCAATAATTTTTCATCTATTGATTTTTTTAATTTAACTGTTGTGTAACAATCAGATGTAACTTAGCATGGCATTTTCGAGCAATATGTTAGAGTCAAACCTTCTATTGCGTAATTTTTGTTATATTGGAACAAATTCTCCATTAAAAAAATAATTAATGAAAAATCACAACATAGTAGTAGACTAGCAGCGGCAATTCAAGTCAAATGGGAAAAACAATAGATATTTGGGAGCCAAGTACTGCCTCTCCCCACCACTCCCACAAGGATAGAAAATAAGAAAAACCGTGTGGACCTTAGGAAAAGGAGACAAAAATAATAGACCCATATGGCCACCTCTCTCCTTTTTCCTTCCTATCTTTTTTTCTTTTTTTAAATTATATCACGAAATATTATTTATTGTAATTTAAAAATTTTACAAATTTAAATTTACACTTCTATATTGTATTTTAAAATTAAGGTGTTATATATATATATATATGTATATATATATATTTTCTGACAGCATTAGTCCCATTCAAGTCATTTTATTTTTATAGTTAACTTGTTTGCCATTAACGCCATTTGAAATGTTTAATAGGACTGATGGTCAGGATCTGCCTCCTACATTCAGTGGTAATTTAAATCAGGATTAAGTTATTTCATAGTTCTATAATAGCAGTAATCAAAATAAGTACTAGATGTTTATTTAAAACTGACATAATTTGAATTTTGATAATTTATATATTAATAGATTACATGACATTCGACATTAAAATAATTAGTTTACTATAGTAGAATATCATGACTATGATGAATGTCTTAAGTAATTACTTCATTTTATTTTTTTTTTGTGTAACATTACAATTTTCTTATATTGTCTGATCTGAACGTGATCCACATTTGGTTAGATGTCCACCTCTTTTCGTATAGCAAAAAAAAAAAAAAAAAAAGTAAAATGATCAAAAGATTTTTGAACCAAAATTTGATAATCATTTAAATTTTAATTTTTTAATCAATTAAATCCTCATTTTTTTATTTTGGATTAGTTTAATAATTAAATATCTATTTTCATCTAACTAAATTTTTAAATATTTATTTTTACCTCAATTAAACTTTCGAATTAACAAAATAGGTATTGACGGTTAATCAAATTTGATCTAACAAGGATTCAATTAATGAAAATAAATATTTAAAGGCTTAATTAATTGTAATGAAATAATATAAATTTATATAAGTATTAAATTTTTGTTCCAAAATTTTTTTTTTACCTTTTTACTAAAAAATAATTCACAATAATAAAACCAATTGTCTAATATAAAAGAAATAATATATTGGATCACGAAATGAAGAATTTTGTAAACCACATCATCTAGAGTGAATAGTTAGCCTAATTTTTTTCTAAGAAAGCCTAAAAACTTTTAAATTCTTTGTTATCTTGATTCTAGGTGAATTTCACTTTGTTGGTAAAAGGAGATTATAACTAATAATCTTTTAATGGGTTTTTTATTTGTTAATTATAACATCATTGATTCTTTTACATAAAATATTTCTCACGAAAAATATTATCCAAAAAATATGAATTTTAAAATAAAACTAAAATTAATAATAATTTGAGAGAAATTATTTTTGATACTTTGTTTAGAAGTTAAAGAGTCATCGGTAATTATCATTTACAAATAATATTATTTTCATTTTAAATGAATATCATGGTGGATCTTAAGCAAAAAAGTTATCTTCAAATTCGATCTAGATATTGAAAAGTTTTAAGATAATTTTTTAATCTAAATATTTTCACAATATTTTTAAACAAGATTTTCCTTTAATCAAATATATTTTTGATAAACCTTAAACTCAATTTTGATTTTATTAAAAAAATAAACTTTTTAGGTGATCAATCACACCTAACAAAAAAATTGACGATGACTCTTTATTATTTTCATTTACAAAATTTTGCGTCATACTGTAAAGTTCATAGACCAACACATTGCTACAATACCAATTGTTATATATGATTAAAACCTCATTAAGTCACTAACATAATTTATAACTAAAACAAAACTAATCTAAATGTGGATGAGAGCTCAACCTCGCTTAACCGAGGTTCACGGAAGTGTTGCAACTGTCACGAGCTCTCCAATGGCACTTTCTGGGGTCCAAATAAAGGCCTGCATGTGAAAAGAGAAAGAATTGCTCTCTACTTTTAGAAACTAAAGTTATGAAACTTAAAATGATGGACCTTTTTAACATCTTAGTTAAAATTTACTCATCCTATCATGGGTTCAAATGCAAAATTAAACCGATATCATGTTTAATGATAATAATACTACTAATTTAGATATATTTTAATATAAAACATAACAATTACTTATTAATTGATATTAATTAATATAATTAGATATATAATGAATTTATTAATCCACTAATTAAGATAATTACAACATATCATTCCAATAGTAACTCGCTCATTTTCTATTGGAGAACATTGCTCAATCTTTTTTTAGGTCCATATGCTGTCTATTATTTTATTGTTCTTTGTCCTTGGTTAGTGCAAGTTTGGGGGATAGCAAAAGATAATGCTCGAAGGGTGCATTGATGAAGGTTAGAAATTAGGATAGGATAAAAATTTCTTGTTTTGTGTTTGGTGTTCACTTTAAGAGGATGAAAGTGTAAGGATCACGACAGATATAATATCATTTATTAGGTTAAAAATTCAATCTAATCAAATTGAACATTTATGTCAGTAAAAGTAAAATTAAACAATAAATTAATTACATAAGATACAATAATTTAATATTATTCGATCCAATTAATCTATATACATAGATGAAAAAAAAAATCTACTAATTGTATATAATCTAAATCAATCATTCAATAATTAATACTCATAGAGCATTTCAATCTCTTCTATTGCTATAAGTTATTTTTAATCTAAAATATATATCTATATGCACCCATATACCATATTAATATAAACCCATTTAGCCTTCTCTAATCTATTTATAAATATTCAAATATATATACTCATAAGATATAAATTTTTAATAATTTTATGAGACTAAAGAGTAATAAAGAGTAAATTCCCATGGCATTTTCGAGCAATATGTTACGGTCATACCTTCCATTGTATAATTTTTGTTATATTGGAACAAATTCTCCATTAAAAAAATGGCTAGTGAAAAATCACAACCTAGAAGAAGACTAATAAGGCAATTCACGTCAAATGTAAAAAGCAGTAGATATTTGGGAGCAAGTATCCCCACCACTCCCGCAAGGGATAGAAAGTAGGTAAGAAAAACCGTGTGGACCTTAGCAAAAGGAGACTCAAAAATAATTGACCCATCTGATATGAAAGTTTCATGTCTTCTCCTTGAATTTTTTTTAATAGAAACGAAAGCATATTTTGGTTTTGATTTTTAAATTTTAATTTAAAATTAAGTATAAAATAATACTTTATTTTTTTTCTAATAATTATAAAATTTTTATTGCCTTTTGCTATTATCTCAAACTATATTAATTAAAGAGATATAAAATTTTTGTAATTATTATAAAAAATAAATTATTATTTTTGCCTTAATTTTAAATTAAAATTTTAAAATCAAGAAGTTCTGTTTTCATTCTTATTTTTTATTATTTTTAATAAATATATTTTAACATGATAACAAAGAATAATAGTTTTTAATTTATTATTTTAAGTTGTATTTTTTTTTTCAAAATTTGATAATAATCATATTAATATTATTTTAAAAAGTTTAGTATTACCATGAAATAATTTAAAATTTAAAAATCAAAATGATGCTCAAATAAAAAATTTAAAATTATAAATATATTTTATCAAAATTTAATATTTTATTAAGGTTAATATAAAATAAAAAATATAAATATCCCTGAGTAGAACTAACGCTGAACTCAAATTCAAATCCTCCTTTTTAGAATTTTACAATCTCGAGCAGTGGCAGAACACCCATGAAACCGTGTGGAACCATCTTTATTGTATTCATTTGTGACATGTCATGTCTTCTCTTAAACTACTTTTTCCAACAAAAGTTCCAAACCAAAATAATACACCTGTAAATGAGAATCCAATATGAACATACACAAAATATTTATGATCAACTGCCCCCAATTATTATTTGACCCGAAAAACAAAGACTTTCACGAACACTACTTAAAGACTCATTAGTTTTTGCACAACACACTGCAATTCTTTTCCGCTACTTCAAATTCCTACTCTTTGATTTTCCATCGACTTCCATTCTTCTTACAATTCCTTCCTGAAATTTATTTATTTCATCATGTCTTTCATTGGAGAGGCCGCTCTATCTGCGTTCTTTGAGGTGTTGTTTGCCAAGTTTGCCTCTTCCGAGTTCCAGTTTGTCACTGAGGAGTGGGTTCGAAAGGAGATTATGAACTGGGAAACTATGCTGAGGAACATCCATGCGGCGCTTGCTGATGCAGAGGGGAAGCAACTGCAGAGCCAGGCTGTGAAGATTTGGTTGGCTGACCTCCAAGACTTGGCTTACGACGTGGATGATATCTTGGACGAGTTTGCGACTCAAGCTTTGGGGCGTAAGTTGATGAAACAACATCAAGCCACTACAAGTAAGCCTAAAAAATTTAACCCTGCTTGCTTCATTGGTTCACATCTAAGTTCAATCAAGTTTAATCAAAAGATGATGTCCAAGATTAAAGAGATTACCGGAAGATTGGAAGGTTTAGCCACTAGAAAGAGTAACTTGGAGCTAAGGGAGATCACTTATCATGTTGGAAGGCCCGTGACAATCCCAAGAAGGCCGCCCAGTACTTCTTTGGTGAACGAAGCTAATGTACTCGGCAGAGACAAAGACAAGAGGGCAATACTTGATTTGCTGTTGAGGAACGATGGCAGTGATGCTGGAGTTTATTCTGTGATTCCCATCGTTGGCATGGGAGGGATTGGAAAAACAACCCTTGCTCAACTTGTTTACAATGATGACAGCATAAAAGATCATTTTGATCTTAGGGCATGGGTTTGTGTTTCTGATGAATTTGATATCATCAGGATAACAAAGACAATTCTCCTCTCAGTCACCTCCGAGACATGTGATATGAATGATTTGAATTTGCTTCAAGTCAAATTAAAGGAGAAGCTATGGAGAAAGAAATTCTTGCTTGTTTTGGATGATGTTTGGAACGACAACTACAACGATTGGTTGGCGCTTCGATCTCCTTTTGATGCAGGGGAACCAGGAAGCAAAATAATTGTCACAACACGTAGTTCCAAAGTTTCATCAATTATGACAACTGCTGCAGACTACTCTTTACAATGCTTATCAGAAGAAGATTCTCTCAGAATGCTTGCTCATAACGCATTAGAAAGAGAGGATTTTACGAGGCATCCAGACTTGAAAAAGATCGGCTTGGAGATCTTGAAGAAGTGCGATGGTTTGCCTTTGGCAACAAAAACCATTGGAGGACTATTGCGCACAAGGGTGAATCGTGATGCATGGAAAGATATATTAGAAAGTGATACATGGAATCTACCTCAACAGGGAAGTGACATAATTCCAGCTCTATGGTTGAGTTACTATTATCTTCCTTCACAATTAAAGCAATGTTTTGCTTATTGCTCTCTGGTCCCTAAAGGTTATGAATTTGGTGAGGAAGAAATAGTTCGATTATGGATGGCAGAAGGTTTTCTCAATGGACCAAACACTAAAAGGCAAATTGAAGATTTGGGCAGAAAGTATTTTGAAGAACTGGTATCAAGATCATTCTTTCAAGCATCAAGTAAGGATGAATCTCGGTTTGTAATGCATGACCTGATTAATGATCTAGCCCAATTCGTTGGAGGAGAAAAATATTTTAAGATGGAGAGAAATGAGGAAATGAAGCGCCCAAGTCACACTCGCCATTCCTCTTATATGATAGGCGACTATGACAATATCAAAAAGTTTGAGACCTTTTTTGAAGCAAAGTCTCTACGGACCTTCATTCCCTTTGATATTCTGATGCGGGATCCATACTACATAAGCATTAACATTCTCAATGATTTACTTCCGAGATTGAAACGGTTGAGGGTGCTCTCTTTGAAAAGCTACTACATCACTGAAATACCAGATTTCATTGGAAATTTGAGACATTTACGCTATCTAGATTTCTCTGATACATGCATAAAAGGTCTCCCTGATTCAATATGCACCCTTTATAATTTAGAGAGTCTTTTATTAAGGTGTTGTGAGAAAATTGAGAATTTGCCTTCAGAAATAGGAATTTTAGCCAACCTATGTCATCTAGATATTGTTGGTGCATGGAGAATAAAGGAAATGCCAAGTGGAATTGGTAAATTAACAAATCTTCGGGCATTGTCTAATTTTATTATGGGCCAAGGCGATGCATTGAATATAAGAGAAATGCAGAATTTATCAAATCTCAAAGGTCGGCTTTCTATTTCAGAGTTGCAGAATGTGAATGAAGCTCAATATGCAGGGGAAGCTAAGCTATCAAGTAAGACTGAGCTCGATGATTTAGAGCTGAAGTGGTGTGAAGACTTCAATGAAAATTTAAGGAAGAAAGAAGTGGAGACAGAGGTGTTGAACTTGCTTCGACCTCATGAAGTGCTTAAAGCGCTTGCCATCAGGTATTATGGTGGAATAACATTCCCAATTTGGTTAGAAGACCCTTCATTTAAAAATTTGCAATCATTAAAGTTTGTAAAATTGCACATTATTTCCTGCAGTTGGAAAACTACCACTTTTAAAGGATCTTTATATCAAGGGAATGAGTAGCGTAACTACTGTTGGCAATGAGTTCTATGGAGAGAATTGGCCAAATGCGTTTCCATCATTAGAGACATTGCATTTTGAGGATATGCCAGAATGGAAAGAGTGGAAGACATGTGAAGTTGATGAGCAAAGAAGAAAATTCCGTTGCCTCCGAGATCTCCTTATTGTGGGTTGTCCCAATTTGATAGGGCCATTTCCGGAATACCTTCCTTCATTGGAAAAACTTGAGATTCGTAATTGCCAAAATTTGGTAGTTTCAATTTCAAACCTTCCAAAGCTATCTGAATTAAAAATTGATGGGTGTGAAAAAGTAGTGCTTGGGAGTTGTACGGATCTTTGGTCGGTGAAAAAAATCACCCTTTCCAACATTTCAAAGTTTGCATGTATAACAAATGAAAGGATGTCGATGTCAGAGAAGATGAAAGCAGAAGATCTCCATGTTAAAGGTTGTGAGGAATTGGTTTCTTTGTGGCAAACAGAGTGGGGTTGGTTGGTGCCTTTGAGATTTCTTCGTAATTTAAAGCTTGAAAATTGTCCGCAGGTTGTTTCTATAGGTGCAACGGAGGTGGAGGAAACGGCAGAGATTTTGCAATTAAACATACACTGCAACATTGAACATCTGAGAATAGAATATTGTGAAGGCTTCCAGAAGTTATCAGAAAAACTCAAGTGTCTTAGAAAGTTGGAGATTGTAAAGTGCCCAAATTTAGTTTCAGTTTTGGCGGATAACTTGCCCTCCACTCTTAAAAGTTTGGTCATGGGGGAATGTGAGAATTTGGTTTGCTTATTGGAAGATGGGGAGGACATCAATTTCAGCAACACATCTCTCCTTGAATGTCTTGAAATTTTTGAATGTAAAGCTCTCAAATCATTATCATCAAGCAGTAAGTTACCCGTGGGGCTTAAAACGCTGCAGATCTGGAACTGTCCAGAGCTAGAATTTGTAGCTCAGGAAATTGGGGATAATACTTGTCTTGAATCTATTCAAATCACGTTTTGTGAAAATATTCAGTATTTACCCCAAGGAATGGACAATCTTAAATCTCTATATCTCGATGAGTGTGAAAAACTTGAAGCTCTGCCCAACCTCAACTCTCTTCAGGACTTGACCCTGATGAGTTGTCCAAGGGTGACATCCATCTCAGAAGGGGGTTTGCCTACCAACCTAACAAGGCTTGAGATCTCTGGACCCAATATTGTTAAGGCAGTAATGGAGGGGGGATTGCATAGACTCACCACTCTTAAAAAACTCGTAATTTATGGTGGTAATTGTGATGCTGTGACATTTCCAGAAAGCGGTTTGCCTACCAACTTAACAATGCTTTACATCTCTGGCCCCAGTATTGTTAAGGCAGTAATGGAGTGGGGATTACATAGGCTCACCTCTCTTACAAGACTCTTCATTGGTGGTGGTAATTGTATAGATACGGTGTCATTTCCACAAGAGGAGATCAAGCTGCCCCCTTCTCTCAACCTTATATCTATCGCACACTTCAAAAATCTAAGGAAGCTATCCTCAAAAGGCTTTCAGCATCTTTTCTCTCTTCAACAATTGTCGATACTTAATTGCCCGAAGTTCAAATCCCTTCCCAAAAAGGAAGTGCTTCCCTCGCTTTTGGATCTACAAATTATTGATTCTCCAAAGTTGAAGAAAAGGTGCAAAAGGGATAAAAGAAAATATTGGCCCAACATTGCTCACATACCACGTGTTCGAATTGATTTTGAATCCATCTACGAATTATAAAGAGCAATGCAAGACCCACAGGTATTTTGATTTGAAACTAATACTACTATTTCAATTGATTTTTTATTTAAATGTACAAACATATCCACACAAGTAAAACAGACATGGCTTGAACGAGCATCGAATTCACTTGCATTTTATTTTTAAATATTTTTAGTTTTACTTTTATTAATAAATCGAAATGATAAAGCCATTTTCTTATCAAGCAGAAGAATTAGATCATGTATGACTCATGTATTTTAATCTAGAATTAATAACTATTTTAAGTTCAGATTTTAAGAAAATATTTTGTTATCAAGTACTGATTTTAATATCTACTCAGTTAATTTCTATTTTAAGCACTGATTTTAATATCAACTCAAGTATTTTATTTCTTTGGTTTCATGTTGTTTTCTATATTTTGAAGTGATCATTTATTTGGTTTGTTTCATCCAATTATATATGGTACTAAATGAGCTGTAAATTTCTAGCTTTTGTCCAGATGTCCAATCTTATAAGACAATTTTCCATTTTGAATTGATGTACGTTTGGATGTGACCTTGTCTTGTTTCTACAAGAGGGAGATATGTATAGCATTGATGTAAGAAGTGGGATTTCTGTCCAAAGGCTTTCAGAATCTGTCTGTTGAAAAATGTGAATTCTCGAACATTAATCTTTTGCAGCTCTTTTCAAAACCACTAGCCTCTTCATTTTGTAGATAATATGGTTGAATGTTGCTTAATTGCTGGTCAGATGGTGCAAACATGATAGAAGAGGAACTGAATCAAGGGAACCTGGGCACTTTATGTTTCCTCCTTCCATCCTCTTGTTCATTGTAGGTATGCCTCCTAAAACATCTTCTCTATTATTAATATAATTATTATTATTATTATTATTAATCAGTTCTAAAATTCAACACTTCTCCCAGGAGTGGAATTCTGCACCATCTATGAGCCCTTTGGGCAATGACTCTTCTCAACCACCTTCCTTTGATGACTTTCAAATAGTGATGTTGAATGTTTGGATGTAATCTTTTCTACACGAAATAGGTATAATGCAGCCTACATTTTGTTCATCTCTTTTTGAGAGTTATGATTTCTTCAATTTGTGGCTAAATATTGATGACTGTCCTCTGCGATCAATTGATCAAGAATCAGATAGCTTGGGCTCCTTGTGTGAATATCGATGACAGGTTCATCTGTTACCAACAAAAAGAAGCATGAATTTTCAACTGGAAGCCGGGTAACTAGATACTGACATCTTGTTTCGTACAAATTTTAATTAAAACGAAGATTACCATAATAAGTATCATGTATTCATTGTACTAAATAAGGCAATTGCAGAATTTCTCTATTATGGAGCTGGCGATTGATAGCATGCTACTGTGTGTAATAAGTTAGGTATTTCGGTTTATATTATTTTCTTTTGCCTTTGAATTTAAGGTGATTTACAGATTGATGGACCTGTGGACTTTTACTACCATGAAGACTTAAGCTTCTTGGCATTGGAGCATGAGCATGCTTGAAATCCATCTGTTTTCTTCTATGTAAAATAGTCATTGCAGGTGAGAATAATAAGAATATTCTGGTTTCTTTCTTGTGTATATGCATAATGAATGCTCATTTTATATCACCAATAATTTTGGCTCTTCAAGAGGTATTTATTTCTACCACCTTTGATTGGATGAGACCAAATGCAGTATGACGGTAGCTATTCCATAAGATGTTCTACCAATTACTCTTTTGTCTGTGTTATTGCCTACCTCATTATGCCATGTAAGTAACAAAGAGTTTTAGAGAATTTACTGTGTTCAGTGTTTGTTACTTACTCCCACACAACTAACAGAATGGTTTTGCCTTTTTATGACAGGATAAATGAAACTCACACATTCTAATGCTCTCAAGATTCAGTTGTGGGAAGTTGTCTAGGCTGCATCTCCTCTTCTAAAAAGAGTTTAGGGGTTTGTAAGTGGATGCACAAGGAAAAAAAAAGGATAAGAAAGAGACACTATCCTTCAATGAACAACAAGACATGGTTATGGCGTCTCCACAAACAGTTGCACTTTTGGTGAGATTGCTCTTGTTATCCAAGAAATTTACCTTTTCTGATGATAACTTACTGTAATAACATATGATTAAACTAGAGAAGACTCGTATTGTAATCCAATTATTTTGAGTAGTGGAAGATTAAGTGGACTTGGTCCCGTGGTTTTTTCTCCTTGTTCAAGGGGTTTTCCATGTAAAATTTGGTGTCCTGCTTTTTATGAGCTATGATCATTTCCTTTTATTCCTTTGATATCTAATTATTAATTAATTGTCTTCCGCTTCTTGCTGTGTTGCCACTTGCCAGCCCCCATTATTTTGGTTAGTATCGTTGCCTAGCAGTGAATGATGAACTTTCCCTTATTTATCAGGCAAAATCAAAATTTTAAAAGGAATTTGTTTGGGATGGAGGTGGGCTTTGATAACCATTTGATTGGTTGGCTTTTGGGTAGTAATTGAATTGTTCATTGCTATAGGTTTTGCGCTGGGTTTTGCGGATGTCTTATGCAAAGAATTATTGAAATTTCAATCGATATATTTGAATGTTTTTATTTCTAATTTGCAGATTATTGAGGATTTAGGGTTTGATTTTACATATTTGGGCGTTTTGATATTTGGTTAAAATTATTTTGGGCTATATAAATATGGGTTTCAGATTTTCTTTTTAATTTGGGATTTTATATTATGAGCTTGTGATAAACAGCCGGTTAAAGATGCAATGTTGATGAAAATTGATATGATGAATGAACGAAGGGGATGGTAGATGAATTTAAGCAAAGCGTTTGCCTTAGGATCTTACGTGCTGTTTTTCTTTTTTCATTTTTTTTTTCTTTTCATGATGTGTTTTGCACCACTTTGTTCTAATTTAGCTTAAATTCCATTTTAAGTTGATTTATGATCAGAAAAAATAAAATTAAGAAATTATTTTTGTTTTTAAAATTTTTAATGTCATGTCATCTTAATCACATGAATGTGACATTTTTTATGACATGAACATTCCATGTAATCATTAACATTATATATGTCATGTTTAGATAATATTTTGTTAGAAAATAACGATTAAGTGAAAAAAAAAAACCTTAAACATTATCAACTAAATTAAAAAATTTAATAATTATTAGTTGAACGACTGATGAGGTATTTTTCCAAAAAAAAAAAAAAGTAATTGACAATGGAACCAATGTTGTTAGGTCAAAAAGCATTAATCAAATTATGTTAACGGAAGCGAAATTAAATAATCAATTAATGACATAAAAGACAATAATTTAACGTGATTTAGTCTAATTGACCTACGTTAACGGATGAAAAACAAAATCCACTAATTGTAGAAAATTACAAACATACATAAAATCAAATCATCAACCATTAAATAATCATAGACCCTCTCAATCTCCTCTAGTCCTATAGAGTATTCTCAACCCAAACAAACATATACCCATGTGCACCATTTCAACACAACCAAATACATACCCATATGCACCCATACATCACATATACGTGGATCCTCTCAGTCTCCTCTAGTCCACTCACAAACAAACATACACACTTCAGTACTCCTATGGAGTGTCTATTTCACAAAACTCTACAATTCTCTTATATCTTTTTCTCATACCTAACTTTGTAGAGACTTCACATATTTATAATCATATAAACTTACTTATTAAAAATCTCTTTTCTCTTAGAATTCTTCTCCTGCAAGTCAAACTTGCCTATTAAAAATTCTCTTTCTCTTAGAATTCTTCTTTTGTAAGTCTTCTTGTCCATCAAGCAATATCTGATCAATCCTAAAAAAATTTCTAGCAAATCTCAAATAGATCTCCTATGGGATTTGAGTCATTATTCCTAACAATTTTCGTCTTGACTCAAATTTCATCAATCATCTGTTTTCATGCTAGATATGCTTGGCTCCACCTGTAATGAAAGTCTTACAATCATCTTTTCTTGTGTGTCTTCATGCTTCATGCAAACTGATCTTCAAAACACGAACTAGAATTTCTTTCTTGAATCGAACTCCTTTAAGCTTGTCTCTTCCTACGTCTTAAACCTTCAACTCTTCCTACATCTCAAACCTTTGGCCTAATACCACTTGTTAGACCAAAAAGCCTTAATCCAATTACATCAACGAAAGCGAAATCAAATAATTAATCAACCACACAATAGATAACAATTTAACGTGATTTAGTCCAACTGACCTATGTCCACAAATGAGAAACAAGATCCACTAGTTGTAGAAAATTATAAACATACATAAAATCAAATCATCAACCATTCAATACCCATAGACCCTTTCAATCTCCTCTAGTCGTATGAAGTATTCTCAATCCAAACAAACACATACTCATGTGTACCATTTCAGCACAACTAAACATATACCCATATGCACCCATACATCACATCTATGTAGACCGTCTCAGTCTTCTTTAGTCCATTCAAACATACATACATACCTATAAGACATAAAGAGGTGTCTATTCCACAAAATCTTACAACTCTCTTACATCTTTTTCTCATACCTAACATTGTAGAGACTTCACCTATTTATAACCATACAAACTTGCCTATTAAGAATCACTTTCCTCTTAGAATTCTTCTCTTGCAAGTGAAACTTGCCCATTAAGAATCATCTTTCCCTTAGAATTCTTCTTTTGCAAGTTTTCTTGTCCATCAAGTAATATCTAGCCAATCCTAAAAAAATCTTTAATAAATCCCAAATAGATCTCCTATGAAATTTAAGTCATTATTCCTAACAATTGTCCTCAAGAGTAAGAAGAAATAGTCAAAAAGGTTCATCTACGGTTTATTGTTTTGCCAATTGAAAATTTACCAGATCAGTAATGCCCAATTCCACTATACAAATAGCACCAAACCCGGAATCAAACATAAAGCGATAATAAACAGATAGTATCAAAGGAAAATTATTGCATTTCCTCCACAATGAATTGAAATTTTCTTAAACAAAAACATGGCGAGCACATTCAGTAGGCTGAATGAGCCAAAACTCATATCTAAACTAAATTTTCATACAGGCATTGACAATCGAAACCCAAAGGCATGCCATTTCCTTCACGAACAACGGGACTCTTTTTTAAAACAAAGCATTCCCGAACATATTTAGTATGATTAACAACCCCCATATCTATAACAATACATAAAAGTTATCCCCATTGTATTGCCATAGAACATATAAGCAATGTCTTAAAAAAAATTCATGGGTAATTGAAATAATCTGTCTACAGCTGTCACACAATTCACCACTCCAGCGGTCACCATAATCCTGTCTTTTTTCTATCTTTCCTAAAACCTTTTCCATTTCTCTTCGATTCCTTGCAGAGAAGGAGATGACAAAACCAGTAGATTGCTCTTATGAAAATATTATCGTCACTGTTTTTCTATTAATTTTCTTTATATTTTTCATTCCTTAACTGATTACATTCATAATTTTGTCTTGTTTTCAAAGATAAGTTATCATACATGCAAAGAAGAGATTTCCTTTTATCTTCGTGGTAAGTACCCATTGCTATTGTTTTTTATTTTAATGAATGAATTTAAAATTACACTGTTAACTATCCATTGTTACTGGTGTTTTGTGTTGATTCCTTTGGGATATTGAATAATTGAATTTCTTCAGTTTGATTTGTAGGAGCTTTTCTGTTTAATTTTTTTTATCCTTTTTATTTGATGATTTATTGTCTACTTTGATGAGAAGACAAGGAAAAGAAAACCGAAAGGAAGGCTAAGAAGGGAGAGAAATGGAGAAAAAGGTATGATTACTATGGTCATACCCTTCTCATAGATTTGTCTAGCTGGGGAGAGGTTTGCGAGATGCATGCACATTGATTGGTAAAACTTTTGTTCGTACGGACATCTTCGCTTAATTGGAAATGATAGGAAGATTTTTTAAGATTTTTATGGGATTAATTAATGTGTGTGCATCCCGCAAATACGTCCGATTGAAAGTTAACGAGAATATAACAGTTACAGAGTAACCATGACTTATTTATAGTTTTTTTCGAATTTTTTATTCTATTCTTTGATTTTTTATTGTTATTTGATATATTTTTGAAATTTTGATTAGCTTTGAACGTGGTGGATTGTTCTAACCAAGAAGGCAAAATAAAATTAGAACAGTTCAAATATTGGGATTACGTGGATCAAGGTCATTGGACAGTTCAAATATAGAGATTGATTAGTATTCTTTTT